CTTGGTAATTAAAAATAATTAAAACTATAGTACATTTGTGATTGTGGACTAGAACATAATTAATCCCAATGAGCTATACATTTAAAAAAGAATTTGGACTTACTAAACAACCTGTAAGGAGCCCTGGTAGTGCAACGGTTAAGCTCTCAGCTCCTAACTGAAAGATTGGCTGCTTGAACTCACCTAGCAGCTCCATGAGAGAAAAGACCTGGCGATCTGCTCCCCTAAATATTACAGCCTAGAAAACCCTATGGGGCAGTTCTACTCTGTCACATGGTGTTGCTACTTGTTGAAAATTGACTCAACATCACCCAACAAAACAACAACAACCTCTAAGTTTTTCTGAGATTTTCTGTGCCCTTTTTATACATTAAAATCTTACTTGAGGCCCTTGCAGCTATCATCTAATCTTGTATTGAACTCATTTCATGGAGTCAGTTCTGCTGTAACTTCTTTGCAGAGGCTTCACAGACCAGGAATTTGGACTCCGAGCAATGAAAGTCCAGTGAGTGTTGTCACTGGTTTCCGGAGGAGGTGGGGTAAAAAGCACACAGGCACACTGGAAAACTAGCTGAGTTCCAGGACATCTGGAATTGATTATTCCAGTGAGATGCCAAGGCAAAGAGAACAATTCTTGTATTGGTTTTTGACATCTGGGCGTTGGCAGCTGTTTCTATGGCTTTGCTCAGCAGTTCTTGAGAAAAGAGATATGGGCTTGTTTCAGGGAAAGAAATAACTTTATTGACTCAACTTCTGCTACAGCAGAGTCCTTCAAAAGACTCTTCTTTTCCCCTTACATGGACTTTCTTGGTAGGTCTACATCTCATTGTCATTTACAGTCTAGTCTCCAAGCACCTAAGGAAACTCATACTACCTGGGGTCTGAATTACACTATACCAATGCCTCCTAATTTCTCCTCCTTCTACAATTCTTTTCAAATCATGGATAAGGAACAGTACAGACTGGAAGGAAAAGCAAATGCAGGCTAGTGAGGAACTAAGATTCACTCCAACTGTTCTGAAGTTTGCCTTTTTAAATACAAGCTGAGTAGGATTTTTGCTCCTGATTCAAGGAAGCATCATGTACTTCTTCTCTGAAAACCTTTTCTTCTTTTAGTTTTATTATTATTACCTTCAAACTACAAAATGTACTCTAGATATGTTGAGAGATTTAAATTCTCAACCATACAGTATAGGCTAATACTGGTTGTTATGGATTAAATTGTGTTCCCCAAAATATGTGTTGTAATTCCTAACGTCTGTGCCTGGGGTTAAATCCCATTTGGCAATGGGTTGTCTTCGTTATATTAATGAGGCAGGATTAGTATACGTTGTGTTTTAAGTCATTCTCTTACAAGATATAAAAGGAGCAGATTAAGCAAGCAGAGATGGGGAAAGATAGATGTCAAGCCACATGAAGATTACCTAGGGTCAGAAGCTTGAAAGAGACAAGGACTGTCCTCCAGAGTCAACAGAGACAGAAAGCCTTCCCCTAGAGCCAGCACCCTGAATTTGGACTTCTAGTCTCCTAACTGTGAGAAAATACATTTCTGTTTGTTAAAGCCACCTATTTGTGGCATTTCTGTTACAGCAGCATTAGGTAACTAAGACACTGGTGAACAGTTAACCCTGATTTCTAATATTCTGACCTGTTGTCCTGAAAGCAAAAAGGCCTGCACTGTGGAAGGGCCAGGGAAGCCTCCATAGAGGCTAACATTTATTGAGCCCATACTGTGCCAGGCGCTGGGCTAAGCTGTTATATTGCATTATTATATAATAATATATATTATTTTATTTAAAACTCAAAATAACTCTGTGGTATAATCTGCATTTAGTGATGGAGAAACCAAGGCTTAAGAACATTAAGTGATTTGCCTAAAGTCACATACTTAGTAAGCGGCAGAGGCAGGTTAAGAACACAGGTTATTTATATAATTTATAAATTATGTAATTGATACTCTTTAACCCTTACTCATAAGATTATAATGGTTATGGTGATACACAGAAGCCTCGAACTTAAACATTCTGATCTATTATCTCCAGCACCTCAGAATAGGGATCATTCTTCTCTTTCTCACTCCCCTTTCCTCTCCTCCCCCTCCTCCATATCATTATTATGGCATTCATCAAGCATTTAAGACCTGCCAGGCTCTGATCCAAGTGCTGTATTATATATGATCTTATTAATTTGCAGAAAACCCACTTTTTGAGAAAGGAACTATTATTTTATTGATGAGAAAACAGAGGCTGAGAGAGGCTAAGTAACTTCCCCTGGTCGGAAGGCTGAGTGTTGGAGGCTGAGTTTTAAGTCTAGACAGTCAACTTTCAGAGTGTCAGCTTACACTGCCTACAGAGTACTCCTTCTGGAGTCAGAGAGATCTACCTTAAAACCCCAGCTCTACCTCGTCCTGGGTAAGTTAACTTGTACAGATCAGTCCTCTGTTTCCTCAAAAGTAAAATGGGGCTCTAGAGACTTCCCTGCTGACCAGGTGTCCCCATATGTATACTCAAACTCATCCAGCTCAGAATCCCTACTGCATAGCGAAAAGAAATGCATTTTTGGAGTGTGACAGACCTGGGTTCACAACTTACCACACTTACTTTAAACAAGTTAGATGACTTTAAATAAGATACTCAAACTTTCTGAGCCTCAGTTTCCTCACCTGAATACGGTAGAATAAAAATACCTAACAAGGTTGTTTATGGATCAGAAATAATGTATGTAAATACCTAATACAATGCCAGGGATATGGAAGGACTTCTATATTATTGTTATTACTTAGGCAGTGTACTGTGAAAGAAGAGGGAGGGAAGGGCAAGGGAAGCCTCAATAAATATTTTATGGATATTGATTAAGAAAATATACTTTTATATATGCTGATGGGCAGGGACAAAATTCCCCATATTGCCCTGTGGCTGACCTTGTATACCCTTCTAACATGGGCGTTACTGAGAGAGGCTAGAAAACCTCCTTCTCTGGATAATGATAAAATAGGAAACAGTCTTCTGATGGGCCTACTTTAGGTATGGCTCTGACTGAGGAGGGTCAGGATAAGATGGGCTGAATATTCTCTATGCTCATCTTGTCCCGCACCTGTTCAAAGGTCCACTCTGCTGAGCTGGTGAGAAGCCAACTCATCATAAGCCACCTCTGGTGAACTGCACTCAGGGTCCTTACTCTCACCCATAGCAATGCCCCTCTTTGTTAGAGGGCTGTAGGGGAAAAGCTCATGAGCTTTAGTTAGGTTCAAATCTAAGACTTATTGAGTGAACTAAGGCAAGTTCCTTTACAAAATATAAGGCTCCCTTCTGTCAATCAAGGGCTATCATAGTGGGTATTTGTGAGGATTAAATTAAATACAGGCAGTCCCCGGATTACAAAAGAGTTCCATTCCTAAATCTGTCTTTAAGTCAAATTTGTACCTAAGTTGGAACAGTTAGGTACGGTTTGTATCTAACATCAGTTAGTCAAATGTTTGTCTTAGTATATGGTTTATCTTCCTATGCATAAAAAAAATTAAAGAAACACTTCCAGATATACTAAAACATCTTTAACATAATAATACAGTAATAACAATAATGTTTTGATGTGCATTACAAAGTAGCACCCCTTTGTTATTATGAACCATTGTGTGTACTTCGAATTTTTAATATAATAAGCTTTACATGGGTTGGTCTGTAACTACTGGTTGTACATAAGTCGGATGTTCGTAACCCCAGGACTGCCTGTACTTTATGAATAGGAACTAGGTCAGTTTTAGGGATTTAGTATACGCTCAACAAATTTTAATTCTCCTTTCTTAGACTAGTTCAAGGTGAGCGTCATTCTGAGATGAACAAACTTCAGGGATATAAAAGCAAGTTTGCACAAAACACTCTGTTTTACTTAAATTCTAAACATATAAAAAAAGAAAAATCCAAAGAGGCTCTTCTATTATAAACTTTGAAGACAAAATCCCATAAAACCTGCCTTGTGTTTAGGGTCTGGATATTTGTATAGTCAGCAAGAAAAACAATTTTAACATACTCTATTATTTTCTATAAATCTACATTGTATCTATCACAGAGTATCACCCAAGACACTGCCTTGTAGGATTTGGCTATAATGCTCAGCATTGAATGGGATATTATAAATAGTAAATATCACAGCGGTAGGCCCCCTTAACACTGGATTTTGAGACACTACAAGAAATGGACTACAGGTAGTTCTCGACTTACGACGTATTTGAGTTATGACGAATCATGCCTACGATCATCTTTGGGTTTGTTTTTTTTTTGTATATTTTATCATTAGTAATATGTACTACATATAATGTTGCAGTGCGTAATTTGCTCATTCTCAGATGTTCACTTGCAGATGTTCAATTTTATGATTTACTCTTCAAAATGCTGCCATATAGCAGGCTATGGCCTGGTCTGCAATGTAGTCGATTTCAGTGTCGGGGGTCATAATGGACAGAAAGTTGGACGATGTTCAACTCTAACAACATACGACAACTGAACTGCACAAGCGCCCAACAGCCATTATGACTCCGAATTAATTGTTACAACACTGACCCCAACTTCAGTATAGACCACCGTGATCTTATTTGGTGCTTCTTACCATAAGAAGCATCAGTTGGTTAATTTGAAGCCAAGTTGTTCAAGTTTCACTAACTGTAACACCTGCACTGCTTAAACCCTCAACAATATGTCCAGCAAAAGAAGCCATGCCACCGAAAGTTTTTTATGTATGTATTAAAATATATCTGTAAGTTTATATGTAATGGTTCCAACCCCCAAAGACAAATAAAGATCGGATTCATAAAAACCAAAACCTGTTGCCGTCAAGTCGAACTGACTCATAGTGACCCCTACAGAACACAGTAGAACTGCCCCATAGAGTTTCCAAGGAGCGCCTGGTAGATTCGAGTTGCCGAACTTTTGGTTGACCAGCTGTAGCTGTTAACCCCTACACCACCAGGGTTTCCAGGATTCATAAAGATACTGATAATTATAGGCAGTAATAACGAAAACTAAAAAAAAATAAAAACGAGGTATTCAACTTACATCAGAACTGACTTATGATGGAGTTGCTGGAAAGGAACCCCCTCGTAAGTCAGGGGCTACCTGTAGTTATACCCAGTATGGGATTTGATCAGATCAATAGTACAGATAGGCATTCTGCCTTACTAGCAAGAATGACAGAGGTGAATCACCCCTAACTGGAGGAATCTAGGAGAAGCCATAATATCCACACGTCCACATTGATGACCTGGTTGATGCCCAAGTTCAGAAATTACCTTTGCAGCAGGGTGATGAGCTGTTTTGTCTCTCTGCTTTTAATGTGTTCACTTCCATATACAAAGACTTGAATCATCAGACACTGTAGGTGCATTAAAAAACAAAACAAGTTAAACAGAGAATCAGAATCAGATAGCAATTACCTTAATTGCAAACCAACTCAGCAGGGGACCAGTAAAACTGAGATGTCACAAGTTTACATTTCAGAAGCCTGCAGTGTATTTCATAGGTTCCCTACCAAGAAGGAAAGAGTCTGGATTGAAGGCTCTTTAGCTACCCCTCTGCACCTCTCACACTGTATGTATATCACTTCGTACATGGCTGTGGAGAGCCAAGTAACAGTGCAGGAAATTGATAGCATCCCTATTTAAAAGGTGGCTATAGTAGTGGTTTCCATAGGACTTTCCAAATAGCTGTAACCAAATGGGGGAATACAAATGAAATCTGGGTATGTGTCCCAAATTTGCATTGTATTCTCATGCTACATCCCTCTGCTCTTAGGCAGTTTTCCATTTTAAATTTTACTGCTTAATTCTGCTTCTGGCCAAGATGGAATAATAAGGACCAGATTTACCATCCTGCTTGAAACAACCAAAAACAGAAAAAGCTGACAAAATATGTCAAAGATTTTCAAGATACTGTGCATCAGGTAACAAAGGACAGTGACCTCTAAGAGACAGAAATCCAATGAAGTAAGCATCATGGATTGCTTCAGATTCCTGCCTTGAGAAGGGCTTGCAGGCTATGATGCAGGGAAGGGGAACAAGCAGAGCTCAGCAGACTCTCTCAGTTGAATTACTCTCAGGGCAGAGTAACTAAGAAGAGATAGCTGCACAGAAAAAGAGCCAAAGATATCTGCCATGGGCCCCCTCAGGTATTCAGAAGAGTACTCATTAGCACATGCATGTGAGGAAACTGCCCCAGGTTGGGGAAAGAATCATTCAAAGGGATTGGAGGGAACTGCTCTGTGCTTACACAGGACCAAGAGTGGAGCCTTTTCCCACCAGGCGAACTGGAAAGCCTTATGGTTTGTGGAGCTTTGGGTGGAGTACTTAGAAGGCTCTTGCCTCAGTAATGGGTGATAATTAGACCTAGACGAAATGTTGCTCTCAAGGAGCCCTGGTGGTACAATGGTTAAGTGCTAGGTTGCTAACTGAAAGGTTGGTGGATTGAACCCACCCGGCGGCTCTGTGGGAGAAAGACCTGATGTCTGCTTCCTTAAAGATTACAGCCAAGAAAACCCTATGGGGTAGTTCTACTCTGCTATATAGAATTACACCCCACAACAGTAACAAATGCTGCTTTCATACCACCTAACAAAACTTAAAAGCAAGACCCAAAAGGGCCAAATTGTTTCCAAGTAATTTCACTGAGTTTCAGAGCAAAATTCAAGAATATTTATAGGAATACAAAAATTCAACATTCAACAAGATAAATTTACAATGTCTGGCATCCACACAAAGATTATTAGGCATGCAAAGAAGCAGAAGGGTGTGACCCAGAATGAGAAAAACCAATCAATTAAAACCAACCCAGAACTGACACAGATGTGAGCATTAACAGAGAACTGTTATTAAAATTATATTCCATATGTTCAAAAAGTTAAGCAGGGACATGGAAGACATTTAAAAAAAAAAAAAAAAAAGACCTGAAACAAATTCCTGGAGATGAAAATTACAATGTTTGAGAGGAAAAATACACTGATGAGATTAACAGCAGAGTTGACATATCAGTGAAGAAAATATCAGTGAACTTGAAGACACAACAATAGAAACTGTCTAACAGAGAAAAAAAATTTTTAAAAATGAAGAAAGCATCACTGAGCTGTGAGACAACTTCAACCAACTGGAGTCCCCAAAGGATAGGAGAAAAAAAAATTCTGATGCAACAATAGCCAAAAACTTTCCAAACTTAATGAAAATTATAAACCCAACAGATCAATGAACCACAGGCATAAAAACATGAAAAAATTACACCAAGGCATGTCAAAATCAAATTTCTCAAAACCAGTAATAAAGTCAAAAATCTTAAAAGCATCCAGAGAAAAAAGAGACGTTACATACTACAGAACAAGGATCAGAATGACAGCAGATTTTTTGTCAGAAACAATACAAATGAGAAGACAGTAAGCAATATCTTAAAAGCACTGAAAAATAAACCATCAATCTAGAATTCTATATCCAGTGGTAATATCGTTCAAAACCAAAGGTGAGAGAATTACGTTTCTGGACAAGATGGAGTAACAGGGATCGGATTTACCCACCCACTGGAAACTCATTAAAAAAAAAAAAAAAAGACAAAATACGTGAAAGAATGGTTTTCAAGACAAGAGACATTGAACAACACAGAACAGTGATCCCTGAGAGACAGAAAACAAGTCACCACTAGCTTGGTTTTCCCACTAAAGCCAAGAAATTAAAGGTCCAGGGAAGGAGTGAGAGCCCAAAGGTAATATGGGCTAGCTAAGCCATGTCACGTGACGAACCATAAAACATTTATTTAGTTGACCACATATTGCCCTGGTAAAAAATCTACTAAAACCAAAAAAGGAAAGTGGAAGAATCTATGTTAGTATGTTGCTATCTCTAGGTGATAGGATTATGGGAGGTTTTTATTTTCTTGTTTTTGTTTATATCTGCCAGTTCTTTCACTTTGTAATACAAACCCAAACCAAATCCGTTGCTGTCAAGTCTATTCCAACTCATAGTGATCCTACAGAACAGAGTAGAACTACCTCATCGGGTTTCCAAGGCTGTAATCTTTACAAAAGCAGACCGCCACATCTTTATCTTGCAGAGTGGCTGGTGGGCTCAAACCACCACCCTTTCAGTTAGCAGCTGAGTGCTTTAACCACTGTGCCACCAGGGGTCCTTACTTCGTAATAAGATACTTAAAAACAAAAGAGAAAGAAGGGAACAAGGGAGAGAAGGAAGGCAGGTAAGAAAGGAAGAGAAGAAAGGATGGAGGGAAGAGAAAGAGAAAAGAAAAGAGGGAGAGAGGGAGGGAAGGAAGGAAAGAAGAAAGGAAAAAAAAAAAAAAACAAAGAAAAAAAAATCACCCCTCACATTCTGTTTACAAGCGCAGGAGACAAATGTAGCAAACCAGCCAGCATTCACCTTCTTTAGCAGCTGAATTGCCTTTCTGAGCTCTCCTTTGGCAAAGCAGATCCTGCCCATATTATAAAAAGTTTGAGCCACTTCTTCACTGCAATCACCACGGCTGATGGCCTGGGACTTCACTGTAGCCTTTAGGAGTTTGTAAGCCTCCTAGGGAATTAAAAAAAAAAAAAAAAAAATCAGCCTAGCAATTCTGAAGGAGCATCTGATTCTAGGTTACCTATTCCATGAGCTCTATGGAGGAGCAGTTCTACCCCACAATGACATAGCCCACCAGGACCAGTCAGTTGTGCCATGCCACCTAGATAACTTGTTTCTATTAAAAGTTAAAGTTCCAAGTTTATAAATAATAATAGTTCACATGTATAATATTATTTAATCTTCATGGCTACTCTATGAGAGAGGAATTATTATTAAACTCATTTTACTAATGAGGGAATAGAGACTAATAAAAGCTAAGTGTCTTGCATAAGATCACACAGCCTGTAGTTGGCAGTGTCAAGATTCAAACCAAGCAATCTGAATCCCATAGTCCTCACTCTTTTTTTCCTTGAACATTTTATTTTGAAAAATTTCAAGCCTTCAAAACAGCAGAAAGAACAGTACAATGAACACCCATAAAGTTTTCACCTAGATTCAGCAATGGCTACCATTTTGCCACTTTTTTTTAGAAAAAAGTTTTTTATTATTAATTTTATTATTATTCCCTTCCAAAAGCAATACAATAAAAAAGATTCACCTCACAGATGGTTCTTTGTGTGTGTGTGTGTGCTTTAGGTGAAGGGTTACAAGGTAAATGAGTTTCCCATTCAACAGTTTATACACAAATTGTTCCGTCACATTGGTTGCAATCCCTGCAATGTGTCAGCACTCTCTCCATTACCACCCTGAGTTCCCCATTTCCATTCGTCCAGTTTTCCTGCCCCTTCCTGCCTTCTCATCATTGCTTTTGGGCAGATATGATACCTTTTGGTATCATATAGATGATTGTTCTGAAGAGCATTTTGCTACTTTTGCTTTATCTTGCTATCTTTCTCTTTACACACAAATACAAACACACATATAAATATATAATTTTTGTTGCAAATAAGTTGAAATCATCATACTACTTTATCCCTAAAACTTCAGTAGGTATCTTCTCAAAACAAGAACATTCTCCTATATAACTACAATAACACTGTCACTCTCAGCAAATTTTACATTGATACAATACTATTAAACAGTCCATATTCAGATTTCCCAATCGCCCCAGTAATGTTCTATGTAACTTTTAAAGTCTAGTGTCCAATCAAGAATCCCATACTGCATTTGTTTTTCACGATTTTTTAGTGTTCTTTAATCTGTAGCAGTCCTCCTGCCCGTTAATGACTTTCATAACATTTGACATTTTTGAAAAGTCCAGGCCAACTGTCTTTCAGCCCAGCTCTCACTCTTACTACTTATTCTACTTCTACTGCATATGCTTTAGAGAAAAATTAGGGGTACACTGGAGATTATTGATTGTATTCATTTGTCTTCCCAAGATGCTTTAGAAGGAGTCTAAGAGTGTAATCGTTGCTGCACCCCCAGGAACTGCACATCACCCACTGCCTGTATCATCTATGTGGATGTTTTCAAACAGAACATTTCTCTGGAACTGGGTTGAACATGCAGTCATCATCTGTTATATGTGGCATGCCAGAGCAACAACAAAAATGTGATGCCAGTTACTGCTTTCAAGGAAACACTGCCAAAAATTCAGGAATCTCAAGGCTCTATTATGATCTTTGCATTTTTAAAAGTAGAAAATTATACATACAGATTATTATTTTCCTGTTTATTTTTTATTAGCGTCAGATTAAGCCTCTGTTTACCAAAAAAATAATAATAATAATATTACATTGGAACACAATTTCCAAGACTTCTGACTTTTTGTTACAGTCTTCTATAATAAGTCTAGAGCCTCACATCAGGTTCTATACCTCTAGGCCTGAAAAGGACGGAGTACCCTGTAAGCAAGGTAAGAACAGGCTTACTTGTGCTTATTTACTAATCTATAGTAAACAGTTTCACATGGGTGAAAAATATTCCTGTCAGGGATTGTGAATTTGAAAAGAGGCTTTGATTCTGTAGGAAGGTGCTATGGTGTTGGGAGAAAGACAGATGCCAGTCATACCTAGAAGCAGTATCTTTGATGAGGTGAACAAATGTGAAATTGTTCACTACAGATTAGCAAATAAGCACACGTAAACCCATGCTTACCTTGCTTATTGGGTAATCTGTCCCTGGAAGTCATGCATAAAGATCTTCAAGTACAGAATAGACATTTCCATTACAAGTGGGAGAAACTGGACGAAAAGGGATAACAGGCACCAAGCAAGTAGGCAGAACACATTAGCCCTCAAGGCTTTGAAAGTAATCCTCTGTTCTCTGAGACAATTTACACAATGGCCTTGCCCTCCAGACTCTAGGTATTGGCCACATTCTCTGGATTCAGAGTGGAGGCCTCTTGGCCCTGGGCTTCAGCTCTGCCTTCCAGGCCCACTGGGACAGCAACTCTGCACCCTCGGCTTTAGGCGCAATATTCTCCCGGTCCATCTGAGTGGCGACTCCACCCTTAGAAAAACCAGAGGCCATGGCTCCACCCTTTGAAACCCCAGAGATCACAGCCATACCTTTTGAGACTGACGTGGCTCAGCTTCTTGTGTTCCTTGTCTCTTCAGCTTCTGCATCCTGTGGCCTCTTGGCCCTCGGGCCTCATGCCCACATCTGCCCTGCTGGGGCAAGTGTTCCAAAGCTTGATAGCTCCACCGATAAGTGCCCAGAGGCACCTTACTCTGCCAGGGAGCCTCCTGCGCACAGGCAGTCCGCTCTCTCACTCCGCGGGTCGGCTCCAGCACCATCTCGTGCTGGTCTCCTGGTTCTGCTGCTGCTGCTGGTCCTCTGCCGCTGCTGCTCCTCTATCCATTCACAGTTTCAAAACCACTTCCACATTTTACGTATCTGTTACAGCAGCACCCCACTCTCTTGGTACCAAATTCTGTCTTAGTCATCTAGTGCTGCTATAACAGAAATACCACGAGTGGATAGCTTTAACAAACAAATTTATTTTCTCACAGTCTAGTAGGCTAGAAGTCCAAATTCAGGGCATCAGTTCCACGGGAAGGCTTTTTCTTCTCTGTCAGCTCTGGAAGAAGGTCCTCGTCATCAATCTTCCCCTGGACTAGGAGCTTCTCTGTACAGGAACCTCAGGTCCAAAGGACGCGCTCTGCTCCCGGCACTGCTTTCTTGGTGGTATGCAGTCCCCTGCACTTTATAACTTTTTAAAATAATTTATCTTATGTTTTTGGTTGTTGTTGAGTATACAGCAAAACATACACCAATTCAACAGTTTCTACATGTACTATTCAGTGACATTGATCACATTCTTCAAGTTGTGCAACTTTATAACTTCTTTAAGTGGAAAAACAAAATTGTGGCTAATAAAGAGTTGAAGACTAGAAACAAAGAGAAAGAGCATCCCAAGAGAAAAAAACTGGCAGCTAGATCCAAAGGTGGAGGCCACTTTTGACTTAAATTATAAATACAGGATCAGAGATTATATGTGTGCCCTGGATTTGAAGGGTCTCATATATCAAGATATAAAAAAAATATTCTATTTACTGAATTCCAAGCTGCACCAGCCCTATGTTTTATTCCTGGCTTTACCTGGGACCTAAGCTACAGCTTCTAGAACTATGAGATGAAAAAGCCTGTCCTGCCCTAATGAAAAAATTAGCAATTATATTTATGTTGATCATCATATTTACCTGTTTTTCCCCATTTTGGACAAGCCATTGGCAAAATTCCTCAATGGTTGTTAGTGTTTCAGAATTCTCTGAGCCTAATGTTGCTTGGTATGCAGTGATACTTTTTATAAAATATAGCTCAACAGCATCTACAAAAAAAGGGAAACAATTATTTAAGACAAGCTGCTAGTCTTTGCAAGTGTCTATTATCAGCTTTTGTGCAACTGATGAAGATCAAAGACCATAGCCTTCAGTGTGGATTACACATCAACATAAAGAAAACAAAAATCCTTACAACTGGACCAATAAGCAGCATCATGATAAACAGAGAAAATACTGAAGTTGTCAAGGATTTCATTTTACTTGGATCCACAATCAACACCCATGGAAGCAGCAGTCAAGAAATCAAAAGACGTGTTGAATTGGGCAAATCTGCTGCAAAAGGCCTCTTTAAAGTGTTGAAAAGCAAAGATGTCACCTTGAAGAATAAGGTGTGCCTGACCCAAGCCGTGGTGTTTTTAATCACTTCATATGCATGTGAAAGCTGGACAATGAATAAGGAAGACAGAAGAAGAATTGAGACCTTTGAATTGTGGTGGTGGTGAAGAATGCTGAATATACCATGGACTGCCAAAAGAACAAACAAATCTGTCTTGGAAGAAGTATGACCAGAATGCTCCTCAGAAGCAAGGATGGTGAGACTACATCTCACATACTTTGGACATGTCAGGAGGGATCAGTCCCTGGAGAAGGACATCATGCTTGTTAAAGCAGAGGGTCAGTGAAAAAAGAGGAAGACCCTCTACAAGATGGATTGACACAGTGGCTGCAACAATGGGCTTAAGCATAACAACGATTGTGAGGATGGTGCAGGACTGGGCAGCATTTCATTCTGTTGTACATAGGGTTGCTATGAGTTGGAGCCGACTGGACGACACCTAACAACAATAACAGCTAGCCTTTTTAAGTGTCTATTATCAGCTTTTGTTCAATTTGACATTTTCATGCTTAAAGTCAGTGCCTGTTCTCATTTCAGGTCTCATGTTGTTGCTGTTAGGTGCTGTTGAGTCAATTTTGACTCAGCAGTGATACCATGTGACAGAGTAGAACTGGCCCACAGGGTTTACAAGGCTATAAATCTTTACGGAAGCAGACTGCCACATCTTTCTCCCATGAAGCAGCTGGTGGGTTCAAACCACCGACCTTTTGGTTAGCAGCCGAGTGCTTAACCACTGTGCAACAAGGGCTTCTCCAGTTTTCATAAAAAAACAAAAACGAAAACCAAACCTGTTACCGTCGAGTCAATTCTGACTCATAGCGACTCTTCATGACAGAGTAGAACTGCCCCATAGGGTTTACAAGGAACAGCTGGTGGATTCGAACTGCTGCCCTTTTGGTTAGCAGCCGAGCTCTTAACCACTGTGCCATCAGGGCTCCCTTGGTTTCAGAGAGACCCTCAAAAAGTCAGAGATATGATTTGATAGCATCAGCTGATGTTCTGATTTTTATTCTCCTGAGTTTTCTGTAAGAAAAGAAAGCTTATGTTTGAGCATTCTTATTATCCTATGATCCAAAATAACCACCAGTGGATTCTTTCAGTTAGCATAATGTTTTTGAGGTTCATCCATGTTGTTGCATCCATTAGTACTTCATTCCTTTTTCATTGCCAAGTAGTTTCCTCTGGTATAGATACATCACATTTTGTTTACCCATTCACCAGTTGATGAACATTTAGATTCTTTCTAAATCTTTGTGGACGAAAGTTTTTATTTCTCTTGGTCAGATACCTAGGAGTGGAAAAGTTGGGTCATATCATAACTGTAGGTTTAACTTTTTTAAAAACTGCCAAGCTGAATTTCCAAAGTGTCTGTACCATTTCAAAATGCTCCAACAATGTATGAGGACTCGTTTCTGCATATCCTCACCACTTGGTGTTATCTCTTTTTGATTAAAGCCATTCTAGTAAGTGTGTAGTGATATTTCATTGTGGTTTTTACATTTCCCTAATGATTAATAAAGGAACCCTGGTGGTGCAGTGGTTAAGCACTTGGCTGTTAACCAAAAGGGAGAAGATGTGGCAGTCTGCTTCTGTGAAGATTTACAGCCTTGGAAACCCTTTGGGGGCAGTTCTGCTGTGTCCTACAGGGTCGCTATGAGTTGGAATTGAATCAACGGCAGTGGGTTTGGTTTTAATGATTAATAATGTTAGCACTTTTTTTCATGTGCTTATTAGTCATTTGTATACTTTCTTTGGGGAAAGTATCAATTAAAATCTTTTGTTCATATTTTTATCAGGATGTTTGCTTTCTTACTGTTATGAGTTCTTTATATATTTTAAGTATAAATCATTTATCAAATTTATAATCTGAAAATATTTTCTCCCAATCCGTGGCTTTTCTGTTCATTTTCTTCATATTGTCTTTTGAAGAAAAATGTTTTTAATTTTGATGAAATCCAGTTTAATCAATTTTATCTTTCATGGATTGTGCTTTTGGTGTATATCTAAGAAAATCTTTAACCTAAATTCACAGGGATTTTTTTTCTTCTAAACATTTTATAATTTTAGTTCTTACATTTAGGACAATGATCCATTTTGAGTCAGTGTTTACTTACGATATGAAGTAATAATATGTAATCTTTTGATAGTAGTTTCTTTTGACTCAGCATAATGCCTTTGAGATTCATTCAAGTTGTTACATCTATCAGTAATTTGTTCCTTTTTATTATTAAGTAAAATTCTATTGTGGGTTTGGGACAATTCTATTGTATGGCTACATCAGTTTGTTTAACCACATGCAGGACATTTTAGTTGTTTCCAGTTTTTGGCAGTTATGAATAGAGCTGCTATAAACATTAGCGTACAGGTTTTCGTGTAAACAGTTTTTATTATGTAGGGCAGATGCCCAGGAGTGGGATTGCTGGGTCATTTGGTAAAGTGTATGTTTAACTTTATAAGAAACTGCCAAACTGTATTCCAGAGTGGCTCCAGGAATGTTTGAGAGTTCCAGTTGCCCTAAATCATTAAAAGTACTTGGTATTGTCCGTATTTTTCATTTTAGCTTTTTCTAATAGGTGTGTAGTAGTATCTCATTGTGGTTTCAATTTGCATTTCTCTAATGGCTAATGATGATGAACATCTTTTCATGAGCTTAATTTGACATTCATATACCCTCTTTGGTAAAGTGTCTATTCAAGTCTTCTGCTCATTTTTTAATTGGGTTGTTTTCTTACCCTTGAGTTTTTGTTTTTAAGGAGGCAAAATTCACATAAAATTAACCATTTTAAAGTGAACAATTCAGTGGTGTTTAGTACATTTACAATGTTTGCAACCACCACACTAGTTCCAAAACAATAGTTTATCTAGTTATCTAGTTCCAAAACAATAGTTATCACCCCCAAAGGAGACCCCATTCCCATTTATGCAGTTACTCCCTACCTCATGCCCCTCTCCCTCCAGACCTGGCAACCACCACACTGTCTGGACATTTCGTATTAATAGAATCATACAATATGTGATCTTTTGTGTCTGACTCCTTTCACTTAGCATAATGTTGTAGCATGTCTCAGTACTTCATTCCTTTTTATGGCTGAATAATATTCCATTGTAAGTATATACAACAATTTGTTTACCCATTCATCCACTGATGAGCATTGGAGTTGTTTCCACCTTCAGGCTATTGTGAACTGTGCTGCTACTAGAGTTTTGACTGTACAAGTTCTAGATACAAGTCTTTTGTCAGATATGTGATTTGCAAATATTTTCTCACCATTATTCCCTTAACTGTGTCTTTTCAGAGCAAACGTTTTTAATTCTGATAAAGTCCAATGTATCCATCTTTTCTTTTATAGATTGTACATTTGGTATCATGTCTAAGACCTCACTGCCTGACCCGAGGTCATGGAGATTGTCTCCTGTTTTCTTCTAAAAGTTTTATGGTTTTACATTTAGATTCATGATTCATTTTAAGTTAGTTTTTATATAAGATGTGATGTTTAGGTTGGGATTCTTTTTTTTCTTTTTGCTTACAGGTGTCCAGTTGTTCCCACACCATGTGTTGAAAAAAGTATCCTTTCTCCAATGAATTGCTTTTGCACCTTTGTCAAAAATTAAATTGGTGGTACTTATGTAGGTCTATTTCTGGGCTCTCTATTCTGTTCCACTGACTCTGATCTCTGTGTCTATCCTTTTGCCAATACCACACTCTATGTTACTTTATAGGAAATCTTAAAATAAGGTAGTATGATTCCTCCAACTTTATTATTCTTTTTCAAAATTGTTTTAGCTATTTTAGTTTCTTTGCCTTTCCATATAAATTTTAGAATCAGCTTCTCTACAGTTACAAAAATTCCTGCTGGGATTTTCACTGTAATTGTGTTAAATTCATAGATCAAGCGAGGAGAACTGTCATCTTTACTATGTTGAGTCTTCCAATCAATGAACACAGTATGTTATCTCCATTTATTTAGGTCTTCTTTGATTTCTTCCCTCAGCATTTTGTAGTATTCAGCATATAGATCCTGTACATATTTTGTTAGATTTATCCGTAAGTATTTCATTTGGGGGGACAGCTACTCCAACTGGTACAGGCAAGTCCCTAGGGTAGGAAAGTTGTGGACAACTCCTACTTGCCCTTTAATGTTATGTGAATTTGTCCTCGCTTTGAAATGACTAAACCAACCCCTACTCAAAACAAATTCTTCATCATAATCACCTTCACTTGCTATACATGCAGCTTTTAAATAACTGAAAAGGCTTCAAGGCTTTTCTTGCACTAAAGTAAGGCTAAATAAGAACCCTATGTATCCGGTCTGACTTACTACAAATTCTTAAAGACACACTTAGCAATGGATCTCACTCATACCCTGGGGACTGCCTGTATTTTAAAAAAAAGTTCAATTTCCAGTTGCACATTGCTAGTATGTAGAAATACAATTGGTTTTTGTGTGAACCTTGTATCTTGTGATCTTGCTAAACTTAAATTCAATTATTAGTCCTAGGAATTTTGTAGATTCCTTGGAATTTCTAGAAACAATCATGTTGTCTGCAAATAAAAGCAGCTTTATTTCCTCCTTTCCAATCTGTATGCGTTTTATTTCTTTCAATCTTTCTTTTTCCTGCCTTATTGCACTGGCTAGGACTTCCAGTACC